AAGTATATAATAACAGCAGGTTTATTAAGGTAACACAGTACTCAAATATAATTTTTTTTAATTATTTAGTTTTGTAGAACAGACGTTTCTGAACACGTAGATAATAAAAATTAAGGAAGAAAAAATTATTTATAAAATTTTCAGCTAATTTTATAAACTATTGCAGCCTAATTTAGCATGTCCAAGGTCCTACTACTAATCAAGACGCAGAGAGTACGCCGTCAAATATTATTTTTTTAAAACATTTTTTATTATTTAGTTTTGTAGAACACACTTTCCTGAACATGTACATACCAAATATTATGGAAGAAAAAATTATTTTAAGCTATACAGCGACTTTTATACACTCTTACTTTAGCATGCCCAAGGGTCGTACTACTACCCGTGACAGGGGGTACTGTACTTTTGTCGTTTTCCGAAAGTCAAGTGGTTTTTAGTCAGGTACACTTTTCTTCCTCAATTATAATCCAATTACAATAAACATTGGTGTGTGTGTTCCTCGTATGATAAGGAACAATTATACGAATCAGTTTCCATGACAACCAAAAACCTTTGAAATAAAAAAATATTTTATGTTAAAAAATTACAAAATAATTTGTAAAATTTTAAAAATCATACTTATAATTTAATTTTGCTCAAAAACTTTTTTTGCTTCATACTATTGTTGGTAATAATGTGTTAAACTTAGTACAAAAATTTCAAGTTGATAGGTTAATATTTGTAAAAGTTATGTGTACCTAAAACTGTCATTTTAACATGGGCGGGATAGGGAGTACTGTGTCACCTTAAGTTTTATTTTAACCCTGAATACAGCTTTTTAACATAGGAATAGGATATGTACTTAAATCATCAATCCACAGACAAAGATACCCCACAGAATAACAACTGCCATTTTAGAAGCGTCTAAGCTTTGATTATTGGGGGAAATAGAACACATTTCATATGTTGTTTTATTATAACCATAGACAAAAAAAATTAAATAGATACCGTCAGCTGTGCTACGGTTACCATAGGTTCTGGTGCACACCGCTGGGAGCGCCACGTAGCACCTACGGGCTACGTAGCTACACGGCGCTCTCAGCGGTGTTCGTCAGAACCTATGGTAACCATGGTAACCACTGGACGGCTGACAGTATATTTAGTTATTTTTGTCTATGTTACAGTAGGGCCTATAACATAAATGCACAAAGAAACAAGAAACATTTGAAATATTAATTTGAAATGTTTAAGCTAAAATATTTTATATTTACTTCAGATTTCAACTACATCGTCTTTAAACTTTAAAAGATTTTGGATTAACTTCAATCGTTCAATTCCAACACATAACAAATCAGATCTAAATTAGTTCAAAGATTTAAATATTCTTGCCGCAAAAGCCCTGCTAAAGCCAGTTTATATTTTTAATACGTTTACTACAAATAAATACATCCTGGCTTACAGGGGAGTATGTTTTGCATTCCGTTACATAAGAGTTTTGCCAAAGTTTCCTTATGACATAACGTGGTACAGCAAGAAAACACCTGCATAAGTTCAAAGTGCATTTCAATAGGTCATTTTCCTCGTTTAGTTTCCTGTTAGATGGACATGTTTAGGAATATTTGATATCTGATTAGCATTGGAGCTATGAACCGGGTTGTATCTTTCCAATACTAATTAGATTAATCATTATCGTGAATACAGTTATGTATCTACAAAATAGTGAATTTGGTTGCTAGTAACAAAACTACTTCTTACCCTTGACTTACCAAACTAAATTTGTCAGATATTAAACTTTAAGTTTTTGATACGTTTTATTTTTCTGTGTTCGAACAAGCTAATGTCGACTAAATGTTTCTTTAGGGGAAATTGTGTTTTGTGTTGAGCCATTTGAAAACACCTGAGGACAGTAGTTTCACAATATCGATTTATTTTGTCGTAATATATTTAAAATATTTGCAAAATGAACAAGCAATAATTAGTAAACAACAAAACGCACGCAATAAACCGAGCATAAGCCCCTGATGCTTCATACCCGATCCAAAAGATATATATTCTTGAGTGAGGCAGATTGATTAGATATATACCCCCGCCCCAGCAAACCTGCCGACTAAGCGAATTTCCATTTGTCTGAATTGACTTCCGAAACCTACTTTAATAACATTAGGTTTAACCAGTACAGTGCCTATAGGTTATAGGTTTGCTGTTCCAGGGCAATTATAAAAAGTGTTTTTTAGTAAAATATGAATAGCTAAGTACAAAATAAAGAAATCTGTCAAGTTTGATCAAAGTATATCCATAAACAAACAATCTACAACATTTTACAATATTCAAGTTAAGAATAACATGAGAATTTTAAATTAACAATTTTTAGAGCTGTCTCCGTAACCAATTAACGTACGAAAAACACTTTGATTTACTAAATTATTATTTTGAGCTCTTTAAAAAGGTCTGGAGAACAATTGTGAAATATTGTGTTTTGAAGGTCTAAAATGAGAAACCCCAATTTTTACCTGATATACCCACGTAAAATCCCGTTCCCGTGGTCCGATCATGCGAACTCATTCGCGTTTGTCTCGCCCTACACATTTAAACCAAATTTCATCATAATCGGACAAAAATTTCTTAAGTTATCGCGTATATAATATATACACGCATATAAACATTTGAACGAATTGTGTTTTTGGCCTCTGGGGGAATTGAAATGAAAAATTAAATTAATTATAGTTAAAAATCACAAAAGTTGCAATAACTTTTGAACCGTAATTGTTACAGCAATGGGGTGTTAGACAATTTTTTTTAATATTTATTATAAGGACCATAACATATTAATTATGATCAAATCCTGATTTTCTCCAAAAATCCGATTGTTCTAGTTATTTTATGTTTTTTTTTATGGGAAAATAACATAAGTTACAATTACTTTTGAACCATAATTTTTACGTAAATGTAATTTGTACCATTTTGTTTAGAATTTAATGGGCTACAACATACTACATTTTTATTAAAATCATTCGGGCCATTTTCAAGAAAATCAGATTTTCCGTAATTTTATGAGTTTTGATGGGAAAATCAACAAAAAAAAATTAAAATTAAAAAAATGAAGAAAAACTTCTGGAGATACCATGGATTAGAACCTACAACCTACACGCCAAATGTAATCAAAATCAGACCACAGTTGCAGTCCCTGGCTCTGTACACATCCAGACATCACTTTGAAAACCACTTTTTTTGGGTCCAGGGGGGCCCAAAATTGGTTATGTAATTCCAAAGAAACAATTTATTTCCCACAATGATGTATTTGATATTGGAATAGCTTGAATTTAAGATTTTTTATTGAACTATTTTTCAATGATATCTTCACCCAAACCTGAGTAACAAAATAAATACTACTTTTACAAAACTCATGACAACTTTTTCCTCAAATAATGTTAATAGTGATTTAGATTTAAATTTAAATATTGATTTGGTAAGTAAAAAAGACAGTTCATATTACAAATGAATTTGATTTCAACATAAATATAAATAGTCATTACCTAACTAAAAACAGATTGAAAAAAGACTTTGATAACTATATCCTTGATTTAATACAGTATGAAAATTCAAACCAATGATATAAGTCATTGAGGCACCAAATTCATGAAGAAATTCTTAAGTGTAGGGTTCAAATAAGATGTATGGACATGACCTACAGCTACTGTACTATTACTGTACTCAAATTTACATCAATAACTAGATTTTTAACAGCCATACATAATTATATAAAATACATTTGCTATTTTTACACTTGCACGTTAATTATTAATCAAAAATATTATCATTTATATGAGTTTAAATTTTTTTACAAATTTCATGTTTTACTCTTATGAAAAACAATACAAATTTTACTTTAATTATATTTACAATGTTATTCTTAATATTAACAAATCGTCAACATTTAAGTCAGCTGGAAAAAGCTATGCAAAAGTATAGGTGTTCAGGAAAATAAGATCTATACTTTTTTGCAAAACACTTTTATGTCATTTTTTTAAATAAAAACATGTTAACATTGCCTTATGATTTTCTAGTCTATATTCTCAGAGGGTATAAATTGCTTATTAGGTATAAAAGTTCCTTATATTCTATTTATTATAAAAGAGTACCTTACATTTGATTTATTAGGAATACAAATACCTCAGTCACTATTTCTAAAAGAAATAATAAACAAACAAAACTCCTAAAATATACTAAAAACATAATTATATATAAAAACAACCTATAGGTACCTAAAAAATAAAAATGTGAAATAACGAGTCTCGTGAGTAAAAATATGAGATACCAAGTCTCAAAAGAAATAAAATAGCTTATTACCCATTAATGGGAAATTAACTGACATGGGTATCCAAAACTACATTGCAATCTACAGTATTCTTGATTCACATTCACGTAAAAGACTAACAAATACAAACTGTGCGACTATTCAAATACTGTATTAACTTTCGGTTGATATTGGCACTTTTTCCTTATGATACCATTTAACAGATATGAAAGCCTAAACTTCATGGCACAATATCCCCATTCTTATTACAGCGGGGGCGGAGATCTATTGCAATTGCCTATCCAGGCTGAGATCAATTGAATTTACCAAATTACCTAGACAAAATAATTAATAATAAGCTTACTGCTGATTTAAATTGCACACAAGAAATTAATTTGAATTTAAAATCAAAATGGAGAACTTGTTAAACAGCACAGCCCATAACAGAAATCACGAGTCTCTTAATATTTAGCTTTATACATTAATTATTTTTTTATGTTTCAGATAAACCAAAAATTTTTCTCAGCTACCAGCTGTGCTGGTCAAATTTGTGAAATATAACTATTGTTAATAAAGCTCTTGACTAGCTTAACACTTATAACATGGTTAACAAAAAACATGGTCATAAATAATGTAAATAGGAGATGTCATAGTCAAAAGTAATATAAAGAAGTATCCATGAAGGTATTGGTAATGGGGATATCTCTATTACACATTGATCCTTCCTACAATTTATTGATCAGTGGGGAGGTTGATTTTATTCATAGGTAATGAAAGTGGTGGGAGCAGGCCTGTATCATTTTCAGGAGGGGTCAACTTTTGTTTTGCTTGCAATTCTTTCTTTACTTTCAGTTTCAACATTTCCGAGCGAAGTTTTTCAAGAACAGCGAAGTTGGGTTGATTTTTTGAAGTATACTTTTGAAGTGTAGTTACACTTTTTTGCTCCCGCTTCGATTCTTTTTCAGTTTGGATGGACTGGCTCCCATACTTTCTCAGGAGAGGTCCCCAGTGTTTGATATTAGGGTGTAATGCTTGCAAGATGGCTTGAGCAGCCAATTGTTTACCATTTGATTTGTTTTCACACACAACGGCAACTTTATGTTCGCCAACTGCCATTGTGTATTCACCTTCCTTCTGATTTTTCGGGTTCTGCTTGTAATGACTTTGGAGTTCATCCAACATCGAGTGTTGCGACAGACATCTGCGAAGAATAGCGTAGGGAGAAGGTTCTGAAGCCTTAACACAAAACTCCATGGCTCTCGGGTCCTCAATTCTTATTTGTTCTAAAATAGATGTGTTATCAGCTTTGGGATTTTTCAGAGATTCCAGACTGTTCATGTCTGGAATGAGAATTTCTAATGCTGCTTTAGCCGCTTCTTCTTTAGCTTGTTTTTTACTAGCACCCATTCCAATGCCGTAGTGCACATCCCCAATGAAAGTCGTAGCAGAATAGGGTGTGTCAGGATCTTGCACTTCTTTGTATTCGTATGTAGGAGGTTTCTTCAATGCGTGCTGGACGTATTCGTGTACAATGCAAGCAGAGCTCTTTCCTTTAGGATTTACAATCCGTTCCCCTTTCGACCTAGAATTGGTACTATCAGCCAATTTTGTTGTGTTTGCCAAGTTTTGTTTTGGAAACTTCAAAAATGTAGTACCACCTGGTAAGGATGGCCTCTTTTCTGAATCTTTCGTCATTCTCTTATACTTTCTTCTGTCAGCCCGTGATTTAAAGGCCATCGGAGTAACAGTTTTGAAGGTAAAACGACTTTTGCAATATTCACGGATTTCCAAAGCCTCCAGGGACTGCTTGGCTTCGTTTTCTTCTGATGTTTCTATTTCAGTTGTAAATAATTGAATTGCTTGAGGGGTTTTTTGAACTTGCTCATTGTTTTTTTCTTTATCTTCTTCCTCCTCTTTCTGTTTCTTCTCTTTCTCTTCTTTGAGTTTCTTTTCTTCTTCCAAGGCTCTTTTGTATTGCAAGCAAGGAATTGCACTGAGAGGCACTTTATGACCAGATGTACATGCAGGTCCTAAATAATATGGTGGAGACATGGTGCACACTCTAGTATTTTTTTCCAAGTACACTGGCATTCCACTGCTGTGCATTATTTTGACCCATCCTTCAGGAAGCAAATCAAAATGATTGTGTGAAATTTCCTTCATCACAGTTTTGCGTATTGGTCTAACTTGGGGTTTTTCCTTTTTAGAACTTTTTGACTTTTTAGGTAATCTCGAGGAACATTGTTGAGTTGAAGGAGGTGAACGAGACCACTTTGAGCTATTTTCAGACAAATTATTACCACGATTCTCATTTCCTTTACCATGGGAACTAAGAACATGTCGTTCCCGGTACAAGGAATAGTGTGGCTTTTTCCATGGAGATCTATCAGAGCCTGACATTTTTTATATTCAATTAAAAAATAACTTAACTGTTCACCAACAAAAAAGGAGCACTGTTCTTCTCAAAGGTACCAGGAATCTACTACGTAGTGATCACATGCGCCAAAGTCCCAAGCTCCTAGAACAAAAGTACTGAAGTTTTAGAACAGGGGTAAAACAAAGTACAGTAGAAAATTAACTGAAATTAACATGAGAAAGGAATTTTAACAATAAATACTTGAAGTTTGTTACATCAGAACGACCGTTAATGCAGCTGATTATTTTAACTTTATACGTTCACAGAACCCTAGTTACAGATGGACTCAGCACACTTATTCCTGGAAGCTGACTACTGTAGCTGCTGACCCAGTTTGAGACTCAGCAACCTGAGCTCTAACTGACGTACTCTGCAGTTCCCAGAATACCATCTGTGAGCACTGAGTACTGACTACGACGCTTTTCACAATCCAGAATATATTACAACAGTTAATAATGTGTGGAGATCCCGCAAAAGTACCTGATTTTGCGATTGTCTAGCTATTTTATTGTTGCATATACAGCATTTCGTCAAAATCGGACTACAAGTCTGTAGCTGTACACATCCAATATTTAAAAATTTTGACAGATAAATACTTATTCCATATACAGTACTATGTAAGGGGGAGAAAGTAAAACATTGGCTTGCAACCCGTAAAACATGACATTGTTACAACGCGACAACATAGGGGCAAACTTATATAGTGGAGCTCTTGAGACTTAATCGTCCACTACGAGGTTTATGATATGTTGTAACTGATTTGGGATCTGTATATATTTGTATTTCTAGAAACCGCGTTGAAATCTTTAAACGAAGATATGAATTTAATTTCAACCCACTATACAATAGCAAGCTGTATTTACCGCTCAAAACTAACCAATGACATAGTCCGAATATAACGTTACGACTATTGATACTGGCCGCGCACCAAAATTGTGATTGTTTCAGGAAATAACGTCCGTAAACCAAGCAGTTAAACAGGCAATCATAACACCTGCGTCGTAATTCTAGTTATGATTCATGGAAATGTAACATGACTCACACACAAGTGTTCAGCTATAACATGTCCGATGGTAAACAGTGGAAATTAAACTGAACGCAACATGAAGTGTAAGTAGCTAGCATGTATACATGCAACCAAACCTTGGAGTTATTTTGGTTTATCAACTCACTTTTCGTGTCACACAAATACTTGTGGCAGTTTGCTTAAACTCTCTTAGTCTTTATAATATACTTGTTGGTTTTACCGTCAATCATGTAAACGTTATAGAAATTTAAATCTAAATGGGATGCAAAATTTTGAATAAACAATGTACAACAGACAATAGTATTGTATCCCGTAAACATACCAACTTTGTAATAGGACAAGAGGTATTTATCTTAACTTATCTAAAAGTATGCCAGAAATTTTTCCCCATGTCATTGTCAAGAATTAATTCTCAAGAGTCAATTCTCGACAACGATCAAAATCAAGTTTCTATTGTTGTAAACATATGGTACACAATAGTGTATTTCATCATTAGTGATTTAAAGGGAAACTTTTCGACACCTAACTCTAGTTTGACGACTGAGACAAAGCCGAGGTTGGAAATGAGTGTGGGTCCTAAAAGAAACTTTCAAAAAGAACACACTTTTCGACACGCTTATGAGATGACTTAAATTATTCTTTTTCATTTAACAGTACCGGTACTGTACAACCTTCAGATGGTTCTTTAAATAAGCACCAAGCACCCCAAACTATTCCCATGTTTTTAAGCTGGATAAAGAAATGTCAACTACCAATGCAGTCTAAGGTTTCATTTGGGAAATATTTTACCTGTTTAGGTTTTCAAAATTATTGAAATCTTACCTATCAGGAATCCATAATATGTTTACAAAGTTCTGAAATATCTTTCAATAGATGTGGTACTGATAGAAGAAATCCAAGACATACTAGACTAAGAAGTAAAAACAACGTATATGTATCTAAACCTAGACTAACAATGTTAAAGAAATTCTTATATTTGGCTCCCACATTTTATAACCTTCTTCCCGAGCCCATCAAAGCAAGTGAAAACGTCAACGTATTTAGCAAATTAATATGAAACTACTTGCTCCCTTAGCTTATAAAGATGTATTGTATTGTACCTACTGTATTTGAAAAGAACAATAAAGATTTTTTCAATTCAATTCATTTCAAGATTTAATCCAGCAAACGCAATAAGATTTTTACATTCTTACACAATGTATTACCTGCTATTAGGCAATCCATTCAAATCCGCAAGTAGCCAGGTTTAGCTAGTGGAGCTGACAGGAAGTACAAAGGATGTTTTCTTGCTTCAAATGAAGAGCGTAGACGTAAAAAAAATAAAAAGACAAACACTTGTACGAAAGACAGTAACTGATCAGTATGATAACTCGGCGGAGTTTGAGTAAGGACTGCAGGTGGTCAGTGCAGGTGAACGTACATTTCTTATCAGACGTTTGAGTCGACAATTTTGCTGCGGCGTTTCTAGAAACTGTTGTCCGTATTTAGAGAATGCTGAGTTGCTGAGCGACACTCTTTCACTACCATCTTACTAATATTATAAATCTGAAAGTTTGTGTGTGTGTGTGTGTTGCTCAATCACGCACGCATAAACTACTGGACGGATTGGGCTGAAATTTGGCATGATGATAGCTCACATTCCCGATTAACATTAAAGCATATTCTTATCTCAAAAATCCTTTCGGGCTCTGCCCCAGTGGCTCTGTAGTTCCCCATGTTAACCTTATGATTTTTCATATTTAAAGGAATTAATGAATCTTAACAGCTGTTTCAATTAAACAAGTTGGTTCTGTTCTATGATGTTCAATAGCATCAAAGTTATAAGGGTGCAGCACTATTATTTTTTTTTAATTTATGACAACAGCTAATTTCCAACCAAAAGGTGAGTGAGCGTAGCGAACGAACTTCAACCTGGAGGTGAGTTAGCGTAGCGAACGAGCTAACCTGAAGGCAAGTGAGCGCTGCGAACGAGCTCCAACCTAAAGGTGAGTGAGCGTAGCGAACAAACTTCAACCAGGATGTGAATGAGCCATGCGAATACTTGTGAAGTTAAACGGGGCGAAGCCCGCGGGTACAGCTAGTTAAACATAAATGCACTGTATTTAAATCAATAAAACTTGAATAGAAAGAAAGATAATTTTGAGAACTAGGGAATGTCAAAGCCATAATTTTAGTTCAGGGTTTCAGTTTTTTAGAAAATAATTTAAAAATTTTAAAAAGTCTAGCAGCCGACGCTAACATTCTACACTGGCTATTGGTATAAAACCATTTGCTTAACGTAACAGCTCTGTAAACATAAAGCCTGTGTGACACAAATTCAGCATTTTGGTAATAATGACATGCATAGGGTTGAATTATAAACTATTGTAATGCTACACTCATTGATACGTTCATTTATTGGGTAAGTGGATGACAGACTATTAAAATATGCATGGTAAAATGCTAGATGTTCTCATTTATTTTTTGGAGCAGTCTTTCAAATTTTAAGTTTGTTTTAGCGATATAACAGTAACGTAGCCAGGATTTCAAAATAGGGGGGGTCGACCGACCGGGGAGTCCAGGTAAAGGGGGGGGGGGGGTCCGGGAAAATAAAAAAAATATAGACCCTAAAACGGTCTTTTAGCTCTCTTGGCATTGAAAATAATCAACCCCAACGTCAATACAGTACGATTATATAATAGTTCTAAATTTAATTTAACAAAAAATGTGATATTTAAGACCAGAAGGGGGGGTCCGGACCCCCAGGACCCCCCCCTCGCTACGTCACTGGATATAATGTGTGTTAACTAACAGCTGGTTGAATGTAAAAATATTTTTTAGAACTATCAGGTTAGTTTATTAGGTATTATGTGATTTTGCCATTGATTATAGGAAATAAGTAAGATTCTATAACTACTGATGTATACCAATCGAGGCTCTGCCCCCGAGTCTTCATACGAAAGCTTATGCAAATTATTTTTGTGTTCGACTTTTGAAGATAGAATAGGAAAATAACAATGTTTACATGTTTTAATTCATCTTGGCAGCTTTTTTTTACTATAAATTTTGAACTTTTTAAACTATGCTTGAATTTGTAATAGACACACTATATACAGTTTTAATGGACTACTCAATTCCCGTACGTAGGACGGGCCAACAGCTCGTATATTATTCCATTTCACAACTACTTTCACAAAATACATACAAGGGAGTTTATGTAGCTATTTGGTATTTTATTATCAACAGGTGTTAGAGACAGTACATCAGCTGTTAGAGTAATATTTCAAGTCATGACTGCATCATTAATTATAATGATAACTGGTTGATATCATCAACATGCTACTTAAAAATCAGGTTATGATAAACTGCAGTTTTTCAATTTAAAGATGATAAAAGACTTTAAACACTTTAACTAAATTAAATTATACCTAAACTTGTCTTTGTAAGTATTTTAATAGTGCTAAAAAAATTAATCATTCTAAATTATAAGGAAAATTGCTGCACATGTATTTTAAATTCCATTTACTAGACTGTCCTGAACATTAAGTAACGCCACATAACATCAGAATTTTACAAATATTTAGCAAACCCACCCATTAAACATACTTGATAAAGTAGTAAAAAATCTAACTATTAAGTAAAAAAACAAATAAAATATTTTTCTCATGAAGCCTATTCATTATTTTGTGATCGGCAAGCGTAAACAGAACGTAATTCCAATAGTTAAACAGTTCCTTGACATGAGCAATTTCCATGCATGACCATTCAGCATATACAAGGTCTAACAAGTACAGGTACTGCATGACAAACACTGATTGCAAATTATTGGACTGGTACAACTACAAGCAAATGTACTAGTGGATAAAATACTATGTAAAGGCACTGTGCAAGAGAGCGGGAGCTACATGCTATGGTAATCCATTACTGGAATCAGAATTGGCAAGTTTCTCGCAATGCAAAATTACATTTCAAGATTTG